ACCACAGCGTCCGTGATAACATTGGGGTAAGTTTTTTTTCAAAATTGTACGTAATGGAACACACAACGGATCACACACACAAACACAAACACACAAAACATATACATAAGCACAAATACACAAAATACACACACATAAACACACACACACATAAACACACACACACATAAACACACACACACAAAACACACACATACGAACCTATACGCAATCACAATTACACAAAACAACACACATGCATACACTTCCACATACACACACATACTTACAAACACATACAAACAGTCTCACACAGACGCACACCACACATAGACACACAAATATAAAATCACGTGACTTCACTTGATGTTCGAAGCAATTGAAAACTTCAAGTGAGTATGAAGGTTAAGAAGAATCCCTGAACATTTATTACATTAAAATTGTTCAACAATATTAACAATAATAATAATAACAATAATAAAAATGGTATTAATATTATTAAAATCAATATTGTTATTGTTATTATTTTTCTTATTGTTGTTGTTATTAAATATGCAAATACGAAAAGTTGAGATTCGTGAAATTTATAATATTTGCTAACAAAAATACATCAGCATGCCAATGGCATTGATTGTAATAATAATAATAATAATAATAATAATAATAATAATAATAATAATAATAATAATAATAGCAACAATAACAACAACAACAATAATAATAATAATAATAGCAACAATAACAACAACAACAATAATAATAATAATAATTTCTTCAGCGTGTTCGTGTTTACTTTTTGTTATAGACCAATAAAAATTATAAGAATTATAAGCTCGAGTTAATCAATATATATATATATATATATATATATATATATATATATAGAGAGAGAGAGAGAGAGAGAGAGAGAGAGAAAGAGAAAGAGAAAGAGAATGAGATAGATAGGAGAGAGGGAGAGAGAACGAGAGAATAGGAAAGATAAAAAATTGTAAGAAAGAACAAAGGGGTGTGTTCGAAAAAAGATAATACAACAAAAGGTAAATAGGTAGAAAGAATGAAGAGAAAGAGAAAAAGAGAAAAAAAGAGAAAGAGAGAAAGAAAAGAGTGAGGGGAATAAAAACGGAAGAAAAACTTGGAAAGCTTCCAGCCAGCCATTTCGGGATAAACATGTCCATCTATACCTCGTTTTTCACCGGACAACATTATGAATTATTATAAAGGTAATATCAAAATTTATTAATATTATTGTTACATTATTATTATTATTTATTATTATTGTTATATTGTTATTTTATTATTATTATATTTTTCAACTCAAGAAATTTTATAAATAATAATATTTTTCTTCTGTCACCTGATAACGCATCACAAGATGTCAGAAATGTGAAGAGATTAAGTAAATATCTTAGAAAAAATTGAATAATAATAATAACAACAACAACAAAAAGTCATAATAATAATTAGCAATGACGTCAACGTGGGCGTGGAAAACAAGATTAAAAGTAAACTGCGGTATAATGAAGGTGATGATGGAGATGATGAAGATGAAATGACATTGCCATCATCACCTTATCATAAACATAGCCACCACCGAATGATCACCAACCATATGCACCCACATTGTGATAGCATTATGATGTATATCAAGAGTAGTGAGCAAACTACGGCCAATAAAAGGTCGTCAGCCAGACATTATGACCAAAAAAAGGAGCTACAAATCTTAAAAAAATTCTCCCCCGGATCGAAAAAATTTACTATTCAAGTATATAGGCGGCCCTTATAAGTTGTCAATGCGGCCCTCACAGCAAAAAGTTTTCCCACCCCTGATACATACCACCACCATCTTTGCCAACCGATGATATTTGTCTTCATAAAATTTGCATTTGTTTCGCAATATTTTATGTTCAACGCATTTTTTATCCTGGTCTTACTATTGTATTGGATAACATGATTTCTGGATGAATGACATAGATAGGTTTTTTTTCTGACTTTTTTCTCTGCGGATATATGCAGAATATTATCTTTTATAACTTTTATTGCATCTCAGCCGAACTACAAGCAGCAAATAAATATTCATTTTTATAGACGTCAATCTTTCTTTTATTAACTTGCATTAAATTTGCATAAAAAAGTAGGTCGAATCATTAAAATGTAAATTTACGACGATGTGATGATGATGATGAAGAAGATGATGATCGTGATCGTCATTTATTCAAAATAAGCTTTTAAAGATTAAATAAAATTAGGCCATATTGATAATTTTATTTATTTTTAAATAAAATTTACTAACAAAAAAATGGTACTATTTAATCATTCATTGATCTCAATCATCCAACCGCAGTATCAGTAGTAGTAGTAGTAATAGCAGTATTGTAGTATTAGTAGTATTAGCATTAGTAGTATTAGTATTAGTAGTAGTAGTAGTAGTAGTAGTAGTAGTTGTAGTAGTAGTAGTAGTAGTAGTAGTAGTAGTAGTAGTAGTAGTAGTAGTAGTAGCAGCAGTGCATTCAACCCATCCTCTTCAACAAGCGTAACATCAACTTCTCATTATTCTCAAATTCTAGAAGTTCCTTCGTTGTTTGTTTGTTTGTCTGTCTGTCTGTCTGTCTGCCTTCTTATCATATCACAAACATGAAAAGAACTTAATTCCCTTGTCTATGTTTGTATGTTGTCAAGTAAGAGAGCCATTAAATACATATACGTACACACACACCTGCACGCACACATGCATACGCGAGCACGCACACGCGTCTAACACACACACACACACACAAAATACAATGAAACAAATATATACAAACAAATACATTCGCATACATACTCACACATAGATGTACACATACACATATATAATTATAAACATACACACACATAGGTACACACATACTCACATTAATTTCTATTCAACTGCTCATATATAATTTAATAATTATAATCTGTTAATATATGTTATAATAGTATTTATTCACACCGCCTCAATAGAAGTGGATGATATTCGAGATAAAATTTATAAAAGTTCATGCCTGACGTCCTCTCCTCTCTCTCTCTCTCTCTCTCTCTCACTTTTATTTCATTTTCACGTTCGTGTTATTCCATCATTAAAATTTTCAAATTGCTCAACCGATCGTCCACCCATGTAATCCCATTGTGTGTGTGTGTGTGTGTGTGTGTCTGCGTGTGTGTGTGTCTACTTGTGTGTGTGTGTGTGTGTGTGTGTGTGTGGTGTGTGTGTGTGAGGGAGAGAGAGAGAAGAAAAAAGAAAGTATGTGTGTGTGTGAGCAAGAGAGAAAGAGAGTAAGAAAGTAAAAGTTTGTGTGTGCGTGTGGGTGTGTGAGTACGTGCATTGTTCTCTCATCCAACAAATGAAAATAATTTGGCATTCATGTGTAGGGCTGCTACTGGAGTTTGAATGTTGATGCATGTTGCATGATGCACCGAAGGCCATGCAGCGAATGCAGCGACTGTGCATGCCTCATGTGAGAGATGCGAGGAACATTCACGAAAGCAAGTACGGAAATGTCGTAAATTTTTTATTAACAGCCGTAAGCGACAATTTAAATGCCCCCAACTTAATGTTAAGCCATCGTCAGTGTCTTTGTATTGTAAACACTTTCACGGTCATTATGACAATATTTACTCATTTTTGGAATATCACTTTGCTTATTTCACTTTAGAAGACTTTATAAATCTCTATCTAACTCGAGAAGTTATTTCATAAAATCGAACTCAACATAAAACGTCACTAAAAATGTATTGCCTTATAACTTCATCCAAACCACCAACATGTCACATACCAATAAACCAGCCTATAGTATGATAAAAGTAATTACTAATTTATAAGAGCCATGGCCCGCGTGCTGAACTCGAGCGAGTGTTATGTTGCACTGGTCGGTCAATATTTGCCTTATGATGGTCAGTTCATTCGCTGCATTCAATCTATCTGAGGTGTTGTGTGTAAACATTCGTGCCTGAAAAAAGTTTATGTATTGCATGTTTATGTCATAGTCCCAACGTGCAAGCACACCTAGAAGGTAGATTGTATACACAATTTCTAGCGTACAAACACTGTGAAGTTTACAGTACACACACACACACAAACACACACATAAAGAAATATTTTGATTTTTTAAGAGAAAAATGAATTCAAAAATTAAATATTTATAAAGACCAGGGAAAAAATTCTCATCTCTTGCAAGCATCAGCAAAGATTAACGAACGTCTACAGACATCCAAAAACCGTCATCTCCAATTACTAACTTCTCATCTGATTTTACAGTTTTTGGGATTTTTTTCTTCCACAAGTTTACCATCAAGTTTTTTTTCTTAATATTTTTCCTTAAATCAACACCGAACCACAACACATCGTAGCAAAAAACATCAGTTACCTATTTCTCGTATGGCAGTCAATAAAAAATCCGCCCAATTATATTATTTTCTTTCAAATCTAAATTTTTAAAAAATTGCTACATGCCCAAAATGCCAAAACACTTTGATGCTTATAAACTTACAAATTGATAGCAGTAAAACATTCAGTTAAAACACATTGAGGTATTAAAAGTATGGTTGTATGATTTTAGATTTTGTATCTTCTTGTGTGTGTGTGTATGTAATTTTTTCAAAAACTATTTGTAGTTAAGATTGATTGGATTGATATAGCATATTTAAAAGTCCATCTGTCTGTCCATCAACGCGTTCTCTGTCTCTACTGTCCAGTCTGTTCTATTTCAATGAATCATAACGTCGCATTCATCATATTTTTTCTATTTTTCTATCTTCCTCATGTTCCTGTATGCTTGCTTAATTTTTCATTTTTTTTTTCATTCACAAATTTGTTTAACTTAGTTTCTATAATTATTTTGCGAGAAACCATTGATAAATGTTTGTTTAGACGGTATAGTACGCGTTTGTTCATTATTAATTAGTTGAATTTTAATTGCAAAAAATTCACACTCAAAATAGACCATACTACTGTTTTGTTTTATTTAAAAAAATCGTTTTATTAATGATAAACTGTATTGAAGTTAAAACACATCATTCCTCGTTGCTTTTCTCCCTACCTATTTTTTATTTATTTTATTTAGAAACATTTGTATAGCGCAAATTAATAATTTCAAAAGCGCCATCAAAAATAAAATAACAAAATAACTGTGCATGATTGATATAAATCAGAATATTCAAATTCATTGTTTTTCAACAGAAAATAAGTATGTTTTTAATTCCCTTTTAAATGTCACAAAGTTAATTCCAGATCTTCTTAATGAAACTGGTAGGTCATTCCAGACTGTCGGACCTGCGACCGCAATATCTCTCGCACCTATTCGTAGATGCCTAGCTGGGACCGCCAAAAGATTCATATTATCTGATCTTAGATGAAAACAAGTTGTAGATGCCTTCATGGAAAATTTATCTGAGATGTAAGCCGGTGACATTCCATTCAAGGATTTGAACACAATCACTGCAATTTTAAAAATTATTCTTTTCTTAATTTTTAACCAGTTAAGCTCATTCAACATTGGAGTTACATGGTCAAATTTCAATTTGCCAGTTACAAGTTTTGCAGCCCTGTTCTGAACCGACTGAAGAATGTCAATTGATCTATTAGGCAAACCGTAAAACAAACTGTTGCAGTAGTCCAGTCGTGATGTTATGAACGCATGGACCAGATCCTCCAGAGTTGATCTATCCAGCAAATGTCTGACTCGATATAAATTTCTAAGATGAGCAATGGCTGAGACTGAAATCATCCTGATGTGGTCTTTCATAGATAGCTCATTATCCAGCAGAATCCCCAAATTGATAGCTGTTGTACTAAAGGATATGTTTGTATCTCCTACTTTGATTGAAGTGACATTCATCTTCGATAACTGCTGCCATGTCCCAACTGGGAGGAACTGAGTCTTACATTGGTTTAACTTCAATGAATTATCAGACATCCAACAGCCAACGTCCGACATACATTTATTAAATCTGTTTATTTCATTTACAAATGATCTCGGAGAACCGGTGATCAGCACCTGGATGTCATCAGCAAAGGCATGACAAACAAATCCGTGGGAACTGATTATTTTTATTATATCTGATGTATAAAGCAGAAACAGGATGGGTCCCAGTACAGATCCCTGCGGCACCCCCGATGAGACCAACGATACATCTGACACTGTGTTTTTAAAAGCGACCTGTTGTGTACGATTTTTGAGATATGACCTGAACCAGTCACGGGCAACTCCAAGAACACCATAACTGCACTCCAATCTCTTTATAAGCATGTCATGATCCACACAATCGAACGCTGCTGACATATCAAGGAATGATAGTACCGATATGTTTTGAACCTCAGCTGCAGCAAACAAACTTGATAAAACATATAACAAAGCTGTTTCGGTGGAATGGAACCGTCGATACCCAGATTGATACCTTGGCATAAGATCGTTGTCTGTTAAATATTTCAGTAGAAACCCATTTACAACACGCTCCAGCACCTTTGATAGAAATGGTAGGTTAGAAATTGGTCTGTAGTTTCCAATTTCCCCGTCATCACTGCCGACTTTTTTCAGAATCGGAACAACTGTGGCATGCTTGAAATAGTCTGGCACTATGCCTTTTTTTTAAGCAGAAATTTATGAGACTAGTTAGAAAACTTATAAAAACTTTAGATATTTCTTAAAAATGTGTGTTGGCATGATATCAAGTGAACAAGTTTTAGACGGAGAGTCAAGTATAATCTTCACAAGGTCCTCCTCAGCGATTTCAGGAAATGATGTCAATGCAACAGTTGGTGACTCTCTATCTTCTAATAACGAGGTTGAAACACTAGATGAATTAACAGAATGCACAATCTTTGCAATCTTATCTGTGAAAAATTTCATAAAATCACCAGCTGTATGATTGACATTAGCATCCAATAAATTTTCACTTCGATCATTGCATAAGATTTTATTTATAATTCGCCACCGGTCCTTTTGGTTGCCACAGGTTTTTATCAAATTGTTCCAATACCCACAGCGTTTATCTGAATATAATTTGTATTTTGTTTTCAATGAACCAAGCCAATTTTCACGATGAACATTTGATAAACTTCTTCTATACAATCTCTCAAGTTTTCTGCAATATCGTTTGACCCGTAGGCAATCATCATCAAACCATGATACATTTCTATCAATTCTTTTGCAAATCACTCTTAGCGGCACACATCGGTCAACAATGCTTTTTAATTCCATATTGAACAATTTTAATTCATTCTCAACATTTTCACTTTTGCATGGTCCAGATATTGGAGAATTTGCAATTGACTGAACAATCTGATCTTCATCCACATTTCTCCACGATCTTACTGTCTGTTTGGTTGTTACACATCTATGAGCAATTGATGCCTCAACCTTTACAAAACCATGATCTGAAAATATTCCACTTGGAAATATTTCAACTCCCAAAATCGGAAAATTGCTTGAACTAATAACCAGATCAAGAATACCACCTTGCTCGTGAGTTGGTTCATGTACATGACTGATCATTTGAAATGCATCAAGTATTTCATTCAAACGGACTGTGTGTATGTCATTAACTCTTTCAATATGCACATTGAAATCCCCCATCATCAAAATATTGGCATTTAACATCGTAACATATTCTAAAACAGATATCAGTTCATCAAAAAACAAAGAAGAAATTTGTGCAGAGCCCGGTCTGTAAATGGCAAGTAAAATAAACTGATACCCACTAGTCGAAAACCTGATGGAAACAGCCTCAAATGTGGCAAATAATGGCAAGACTAACTTTTTATATCCAAAATCTTTACGGAAATATACAATTAAGCCACCATGACCTGGATCGTGCTGCCTAACATAATCAACATACCAGAACCCAGGTGGCATAGCCAACCGAACTGAATTATTACCAACCACACCATGCCAAGTCTCAGTAAGCACCAAGATATCAAGCCCATCACATATCAATCCATGAATACCATTCACCTTAGACGCAATTGATTTCACATTCACCACTTTGTTAATTTGAGTTTTACCATGAATAACATTTCTTCACGAAGCACAAGAATTATTTTTTACCAACCCAATTAAACCATATATAGAACCACACCTACCATTTGCTAGTTTAATTTTGTGTCCTTCTGAAACCGCACTATTTTCCACCTTCCAACCTCTCCTCTCACTCGATATAAAAAACCTTGCTTGCAACCCTCCTCCGCCTCCTTGGCTTCTTTGAGCAACTTTTTAAGTACAGCTCTTTGATCGATACTGAAATCGTGGCTTAATCTAGTACAAGCCAAATCATCTTTCAGAGTTTTCATTTTTCTAATGCCGTTGAAAACATGTGACTTAGCTTCAATATTATTAAATTTAATCAAAATTGGTCTAATAGCGTTGTCATTTTTTTTGCCCAACCTCATCATTTTCAGAACATTTTTTTCTCCGCATACCCCTTCAGTCAAATGATCCAATATTTGGCAGACTCTTGCATTGTCGTCTGATCCTTCCTTCAAATTGAACATTATTATATTAGCTTCTCTTTCCTTATTATCGACGACATCCTGCAACTTTTTTTGAACAATTTTCACGTCCTGATTAATTGATTGAACGCCTTTTTTCATCTCACCACTAACGACACTGGCAAATGACCTATTTAATTCAGACTTCAAACTAGCAATCTCACCAGATAGCTTGGCACCAGATGTATCTATATGCGTAAGTTTGCTTTCATTTCCATCAATAGCGGCTCTAATTGCAACAACTTCAGATATGATTTTTTTATTTACGTCATTTAATTTTTTCATTTCTTCTATAATCTCTGAATTACCCTTTTCAAGTTCTTTATGAAACTGTTTCCCTTCAGATATGATTGTTTTATTTACATCATTTAATAAAACCTACCTACCTACCTACCTACTAAAACTGCATTTCAAAATGTTCTTAAAAATTTTGTAATTAGTAAGCAAGTGTGAGATTTTCAACGTAGGTAAGTAGTTAAAGCTATCGTTTAAACGCGAACCGAGAGTGAACAAATTTTGGTTTTTTGTTTACGTGGTACGCGCGCGTTCGTTCGTTAACTGGCTTTTTCTGTTGATTTGTATTGCTGGTATTGCTGTTATTAAAGGTATTCGTCGTAGGTATACTAGGTTGTATGTTGTGTACATTTGTGTGCACGTTCTTGCATGTTGAATATGTGTGTGGGTATATGTGAACGAGTGTATATGTATGATGTCTGCGTGTATATATGTTGTTATATGTTGCATGCGTGTGTGTGTGTACGTGTGTGTGTATACGTGTGTGTGCAAGTTGTATTTACTGTTTTTCAGCTAGAGATTATATCGTGTATAACTCTATAGTGCGGAGTTATCCATCATTGAAGATAACATTTTTAATTTTCAAAACTTTGTAATATTAATTTTTAAATTTCATTTACTTGGAGTTTAAGTTTTGATTGGTTTTCATTATCGTTGAAACTATCAGTATATATTTTGAGATACAATATTTGTCTTCAAAATTTCAAAGTTTTAGTTGTTTTCTAATTAGAAGCAAGCTGCCTCGTTACATACTTACCAAAATATAAAATTTGGAAAATTATTTTTTTCCCATATCAAAAAATCGCACATAATTTTACTATAAAATCAGCCATGCTATCAACCAGGTCAAACAATCACATTAGTTGTTTATGATGGTAGCCGAGGTTAGAGCTTTTGTTGCGGTAGAGGTTTTCGAAACGTGTAATTAACTTGAGTCGATAGCGGACTAACAATGCCCTGACGTACATACGTCGTCAGATCATGCCTCTTTCTTGTTTTTTTTTATGTAACTAAAATTACAAGCACACATAAGTAGTATTTCATATTTTTTAACATTCATGCAAGTTTAGTGCATTATTTTTAGCAATCACATACACAAACACGCACACAGGCACATATACAAACACACCCACAGCACAAAACACATACAAAATACGCTGTTGTACCATAAACACTTTTTCATTTTAGAAATTTACAAGTTGTGCCATGCGGTGATGATAAATTTAACAATTGCATTCGCATCAATATAACGCTCAGCTGGACAAACATTTGTTAAAAAAACCCCAAGATGTTTCTATATTTAGAAAACCAGATGAATTGCTTAGATACCTATTTCACTTATATGGCTGGCGCGATAACTTAATGGTCAAGGTAGGTGCACATCTGTGTAACTGGCTATCACATTCACAGTGCATGTCATGCGTTGACTATTCTGAAAAACTCTGGAAAAGAAAGGGAATCGTAAATAAAAGAAAAACTTTCAAAAACTAAATTAATTATGACAGTGGTGCTGAGAGTGATTAATAAAAGATATGGGTGAAAATAAACTAGCATGAAAGTTGATTGGCAGCACTAATCAGTAAGTTGATCATGTGATTAATGACCCATAAAGGTACGAAGCCTCTTAAGACCTAATTAAATCATCTGTCAACTGCGGGCTAACTAACTACCTCGTTCTGTTTGCACAACTTGTTTGCATGAAAAACATTTCATCAATCTCTACTAACAACTACAATAGCTATACGTGCTATAAATTCAATTATACACACACAACCACACACACGCACGCACACGCATACACACACTTACACTAAACACACATGTATACACACACACACATATATATATATAATATATATTATAAATTTCTAGATTGAAAAAACTATAAAAAGAAAAAATAAAATAGATGGCGAGTTGAACAATTATATCTACTATTCGTTTGATGTTTCCTCAGAGATATTTATACACACATACACGTACAGATACATACACACGTACATACATACACGGGTTTACACATACACGTACACACAAACACACACACAAATAATATATTATGTGTGTGCTTTTTGTAGAATCAGTAGATTTTTAACCCGGTTGGAGCCAGTTTGGAATGTTATTGATCATGAAGATTGCACTCGAGACGATAACTCTTTGTTTTTCTTAGGTTATTAAACTGCCTGTGCATCAACTTCGTGTGGATGGTTTGTTATCACTTAACATTTAAAATTTTAAACTATTCTGTAACATGATACATTGGTGATTATTAAATGGCAATAATGACGATGATGAAATTCTTTTTGATGATGAAAGCTATGATGACGTTGATATTAATTTCGCAGAAATAATTTTTAAATTTTAATATTTTTTAATACGCAGATTTATAAAGTAGGCCTAACTCTCATGTGTTTGTTGACACAAATTATTACTTACTAGCTGGCTGTTTGTTAAATGAATTATTTTCTTCTTCCGGGTCTCCCGATCACAAATTTTTTCTGTGTTGTTTTAATCAAATAAATATATTGAATTGAAAATTGAAATAATATTTCGTCAAACTTTTTTATTCAGTGAACTTTCTCACATCCAAATGAATGATAAAATGAATGAATTTTAAAATTTGTACAGGACACTCAAACTTTCTCAAAGTCGACCGACATCTTCATCGCGAGACCAACACAACACACCTCACAGCAACTTTAGAAACATTTCTACCAACAAGTCTTATGAACAACGTCAGCAATGAAACAAAACCAACACCAATTTACATCCAGAGATCACAACTACATTCAGTGTCATTATAAACAGATTTAACAAGTTTGCAGAGTAAGTAAAACCAAATTACTTACAAAGCTCCCAAAAAACGCAGACGGCATAACTCATTTGTGGTCATACAAATTATTCGAAACTTTGAATAAAAGTTACGTACGAGTGCAAAAAAGCCATTTAAATTAAACCTCTACTCCAATTTTTATAACTTGCCGTTCAGTGGTGCCTCATAACTCGTGCGTGACATTCAGTTTCTCAGTTTCACAGATCTAGCAAATTGAACTTGATTGCAAAACAGCCACGTGTTTCAAAGATTTTGTGAAAATGTTGAAACAATGTGAATAAATAAATGCTAAAATATCGTTAATTTTCAAAATTGCTATCTTAAACAAAGTTGTGTTTTAAAAGTTTTAACAAAAAAAGACAATGTCCAACACAACTGAATTGACACCACTCTGTATGGAGCCCAACTACAACAATCCCAGCAACCTTATCTTCAACAGCAGCTCCTTCAACAACATGACCACTGCGGCCACCAACGTGACGATGACCACTACCAGTTGCTGCACGAGCAACTTGGAGCACATCAACATAATGCTGGCCCTCCACCGACCAAACCTTCTACTCTATGACAAATACCTTTGCTTCGTCTGGTTCATTCTCGGTTTTCCTGGAAACTTTCTCTCTTTCTTCGTTTGGATTCGTCGCAAGATGAGACCCTCTTCCGGCTGCTACCTCGCCGCTCTCGCATTTAACGATTTCATTTTCCTGCTTTTCAACGTCGTCAACAAAGCCAATTTCGCTTGGGAGACTAACATCTTGAATGTGCCAGTCTTCTGCGAAGTTTTTCCAGTTATTTTCTACAGCACGCAGTACTTGAGTTTGTTTTTCGTGCTGGCATTTACGGTAGAGCGCTACATATCCGTGTGTCACCCGTACCAGAGGGAGAGGTACTGCACCATGCAACGCGCCATCACCGTCATCGCCTCGTTGACAGTATTCACATTGTTATTGCACTCAGTATTGGCGTACGTTTACTATTTTGACGGCACGAGGTGCAGGTTACGCGACGAGTTTGTTGCGAGTCAGTTCTACAACGTGTATACAATCGTCTGTGAGATCACAACATTCGCTATCGTTCCTTGCGTCATCATCATCATCAATGTGCGAGTCATCGTTGAAATCAAACGCGTCAACAGAAGAGTTCCTGGCTACGTGGCACCACAAAAATTTTTCAACTCAAACTCGCGAGCGAAGCATTTCCAGCCCCCTGTTACCAGTTCAAACAGTTTCTACCTGGACGCAAATGTCAAGCAAACGAACTCCCCGAAAATGGGCATCAAACCAGTAACAGTCTCATCGGCTACCGCGAAATCAAAATTTCGAAAAATTGTCTCCCACACGTCGTCAAGCGGCCACCAATCTGTCTCTTCTCAACCGAGTGGCAGTGGTGGTGGCAGTGGCATCAGTCAGTCGGCAACAACAGTTATGTTGCTAGCAGTCTCATTTTTCTACATCATCTCCACTCTCCCCGTCACCATCTCCATCGTCACCCTACCAAAAAATGACGTTTGTCGACCAGTTGAGGAGGTAGCGAACGATGATGACTGGCAGGTTATTTTCAATTACTGGACGGCGAGGGTGGTTGTACAGGAGCTGGGAATCTCCCACTATGCCTGCAACATTATTTTTTATTTGCTGACTGGCAACCTCTTCAGGGCGGAACTCAAATTATTTCTAGCGAAACTTTTCTGCAGACCCTCGTTGAAAAAAATTTTTCACAGAAAAAGCAGCAGTAGGCAACTGAGTAACAACAAGATGTCAAACAACAACAACAACACAAGTTTTAGTAGCTGCAATTACAGCAACACACAAAACAACATGATCGACCTTGATGACGACGATGACATCAAAAACCGCAGTAGCACAGCTGACAAACTTCAACAAACTGTAAATGAAAATAAATTGCCCAAACCTAACGACCAACAAAAGTTTAACATTTATACGCCAACAGCAGCAACAACAGCAACAACAGTAGCAACAACAACTAAATGTAACACTATTTACCAGAAAAACAACGATTCTGAAGTAAACTCGTCAGCGTGTCAACTTAACACTAATTTTGATATTGCAAACAACGTAACCAGCAACAACAACATCAGTAACAACAAAATTGTCAACACAGCCAACAACAACTCAACCAACAACTCAATTCACTATAGGAATATGCAAACAGTAGTTGATGACAATAACATCGATGAAAATGATGAAGATGAACTTTTCAACGTGCACATTAATTTTACACACGTTAATGTCAAGAGGTCAAGTAAGGCAGAAGACACGAATGATGTAATCGAAACATTACCGTTGAACATCAATCTCTCCCGAGAACAGTGATTTGTTTGTAAATATAATCGCTAAATTTTGTACAAATTTTATTTATACTTTTAAAAAACTATCAATATTCATTTAGAAATTAATTAACTTAATTAGCTGAATTGTTTTTAGTATTT